TCAGCCCACCCTTTTCTTCTTCCCCTCCAGGGAATTCTGTGTATTCTGGTTTGCTTATCCAAAAGGTCTTATATCTCACTGGGCACATGAGATATATGTGCATTAGCCTATTTTAATGCGCATTAAAGCATCACTAAAAATGTGCTTTTTAGTTCAGGTGTATGAAAATAGGCTAATGCGCATCAAAGTGTTACTAAAAACCGTCCTTTTTAGTTAATACACATTTTCTTAATACCTCATAATGGAGGTACTAGATTTAATATGCATTTAATGCACATTAACTAAAGTGCATTAATGCACATGTAATATGAACCATCACTGTTATAATTATGGTCTCGCTCAGGATCAGTCGTGTTGTCCTGGGTGTTGTATCAGCACAGCTGAAGAGACCATCTCTCCTGGAATTGATTTTGCTAGCTTTAATCTTGACTGTTTCATCTGATATCCCACACCAGTGTGTTGGCCTAATTCCTCCCATTTTTCCAAGGGGACAAGCAATGGTTGTGCGGTGTTGCTAACCCGCCATTGTATTACCACCCAGAGGTGACTCTGTTTCCTAGGTGTGTAAACTAATTCCCAGATGCTCTGCTTTTAAAGCAATTTGGGATCCTCTTATATAGGAGGTGGCACACATAAGATCATCATCAGTGCACAGACGATAGGACCCACATTTTTCAGTACCTGTTTATAAGGAGGCTTATAGAAGTTCATGGAGAAACCATCTCTATGGTGTGTTTCTAAGTCATCTCTGTTTCATTTCAGTATTAGTTGGCAAGACGATTGTTTTAGGGTCACATTATTTCTAACCTGTCTGGAGATGGTGCTGTGTGTATGGGAGGGGTGTGTGCATACACATGTATTTATATAGGTGTACGCCTAGGGACAGCCAAGGTGTCTGAGCATGCGCTAGTGTGTGGATGTATTTCGTTATGTACAGGCTGACACTGCATTTTGGAGTAGGTGTAAATTGATGCTGAATGGCTGCTTGTGAGTGCATAGCAATGACTCTGGGGATCTGTGGAAGAGGAAGGAAAGCATGGATTGGAGCAGAGACCGCTCTGGTCACTTTTGTCACCAGTATCATGACATTTATCATTTTTCTTGATGCTACAGCCCCTGCAATCATGTACATGCTTTCACAGCACTCTCCGCTTTCAGATTTTTTTTTCTTTAGAAAGGGACGGTTTTAGCTATCCTGGTGAAGCAGAACCCCCATCAGCTCCAAAGCCGAGAGGCAAATGAATGCAACCTGCCATTTATTTGTTAAAATCCCAGGATTTAACAAACCTGACCCATCGTGGTTAAATGCTTGTGCTTGGCAGTCCCAGTCTTGGGTATGTTTGCAAAGATGGGACGGTGGAGCTTGGGATTAACAGAGGGGTGCAATGTGCAAGTGTGCAAGGGTGCTTGCTGGAGAGCCGGAGTGAATGCACTGATGCGTTTCGGATACATTAAGACTTAACATTTAGGTGGCACGATGCAGCTTCAGAGAAACGTGCCAAATTAAACCCTAACCTTGGGAGAAACTGAGCTGGGTCCGTGCCAGTTCTCT